TGCAAACTGTTATGTGCAAAGGCTTTAGCGCACGACGTGTGTCATTTTGCACACGACATGTGCCAATTTTGTGCCAACGCAACGCAGCCGTCAGAAAACTGTCATCATTACATCGCAAATTATTTCACAAAACCTGCAAAAACTATAGCCTGCTGCTAATTTGAAGTCGAAGAAAAATAGCGTAAAAACTGGTTCGAAAATTTCTTTGTACACTCGTTCGACTTGTGGATCTTGCTTGCGGCGCGAGCCAACAAACTGTCGAAATCGCATGCAAAACGTCGTTTTCGAAAATCGTTGTTTAATATACTATTGTTTCAACCTTTGAATAAGAAGACTAAGGAAGGAGCATAATGCTATCCATGTATTCATGCATGGTGGGCGGAAAAGCGCCATACCCTCTCTAGGGCGGGGATTCTGACAGTTCTGTTTGAATGATCTACTAATAAGATTTGAATTTGACGAAATTTTGTGTGGATTTGTCATGAGCTTATTTTATGTTATTTATTATTTATTCTACTACTGATAGTTGTATAAAGGTAGTAAATCTAGATAGAAATTGTGGTAGAACTTAAATTAACCGTGACACTATCATGATTTATCGAAAAAGATTCTAAATAGTTGGTTGTGTAACGTGCGGTAGATCTCGGCAAAATTCGAGTGAAATAATGGAACAACTTTTCGCTAGTAAGTGACTATATAATATACATACGTGTAGTAAACCGATCATTTAATAAATTGACTTAAATTAACTAAATTATATATTTTCTTGCATTTTAGCTTTCTTTTATTTATTACTTGTCAAAGATTAGGTGTCAAAGAATTAGATACGACAATTTGACTTACCTGCTCAGTAGCGTATCGGATGTTTGTGTTATAAAATACTTATTGTAACCTATCTATTTTCATTAGAATTATATATTTTTATAACAATTTTAATAACTACCAACATTTATTCACAACGTAAAATAAAACAACAAATTATTGAGTCTACCCCATGTCAATTCTACCATGAAGTTTTACATTTTAAATAAAATTAGAACGACACTGATAAACCGGAATTTAAGTCGGCCATATTTGAGGCCCATCGCGGAGTACCTAAGATTTTTGATATGCTCCTTCATTATCTTCTTATTCAAAGGTTTCAACCGTTTTTGTAGTATTAACCGAGGCGAACGAGGTGCGCCAACCTGTATATTTCTTTATAAATTTTAATTTGTCGTAAAGTCGGTAGGCCATTAACTATAATATGGCCCAGAGATTAACTTACAGATGTGGCACCTATTTCATCTTGCTAATAGAAGCCGCCGTAACATTGGACCTTTATTACACTCATGGCATTGTCAGATCTCTGTTTTTTTTTCTCGAATGCATTGTTGTTTTGAAAAAATGTATTCCCAATTGCAATACCTAATACTTAATCTGTGGCACGGCTTTTGTAGCGATTCATCATACGAATGCATCCTTGTTTTATTTAGTTTCTCCGTCTTACTGATAAATCTGAGTTAATTTTCAGTTTTGTGTAAAAACTGGCTAGGTATTACAAATGAAGAAAGAAATTAAAGATAAAGGATTATACTATAGTCCGTCTAGAAAGTATTCGAAAAAAGAAAGCAAATTACAATTATCGATATATATTTTTAGGACTTCAGTTAAAAAAGTATAAATAAATTATTAATTTTATTTACTTATACAAACTAAACGTTCAGGTACACCCGAAACTAGGTCCACACCAAAATGTTCAGTGGCGAGGTAGGTAGTCCAGGCCTGTAAAACTGAGCGAATCAAATCTTGTTTATTTCTGTTGGAGCTTGTTCCACTTAAATCAATTAGTCCCCATAATGTTTCCAATGGGACTAAGGTCTGCTGAAGCTGCTGGCTATGGAATTGTTGCCAAATGGTGTTCTTGCATCCAAGCTTGAGTATAGGCAGACGTATGGCATTTTGCATTATCCTGCTGAAAACACCACCCCTCTGGATATAAAACATGAGCCGTTTCAAGAAGAAAACCATTTAAAATATCACAATATTTTGCACTATTGACAGTTCCATCAACTATACACAGAGGTGTAGCACCACGCTGAGATAGACGTTAATAAAAATCAACGTCTATCTCAAAACAAAAATGTAGCCTTGTCTTTTCAGTGACGTGCGGACCGGTTTCTGGACACACTATTAATTTTTGCTGACTTCCAAACCCTGTTTTCGCAAATCTTACGCGGTCTTCCTGAACCCGGTCCATGCTTCATATCTGTACCAATTTTTATCCTCTTTATCGTCTCATATACTGCACTTTTTCCGAGTTCAGCCAATGGCACTAATTTTTTTAACGTTTCGAACAACTTTTCTATACAAATATTCCACCATTTCTCCTTTTTTTTTTGTTTGCGACATTATTTCTCAAACCTTAAGCCGGTTTACAATCAACAGTATTTGACAGATGGTGTTGCCATGCAATAGCCTACTATCGGGACAACCTATGCGATGGATTACTGTTGTCGTGTTACAGAAAAAAATACATTAAAATTAGGAAAAATATAAAATTCCGGATACTTTCTAGGCGGACTATATATCCGTATTGTAGCACATTTTTAGACAACTTCGTTATTTTTAAGATTTTGATGGTCAAACATCAACAAAATATTCCTTATGTTTGGACTAAATATTCTCGAAAATAAAGACATAACTTAAAATTTTGTTAAAATACGGAAATAGATTAAAGTTTTGTGATCAGTGATATATAATCTATATAGTTTTGTAACAAATTGCTCGCTATTTTATGGCAAATGCCGAAGTTCTGCAAACCTTAATCAAGCCTTAATGAAAGTACGTGTGTTTGGAATTTTGGGTATGGCTTTACATGACAGGATCGGGCCAAGCTTTAGGTAGATTTCTGAAATATAATATATATTTCCTTCGGCCACACACCTGCTTTATCCGACCACTGAGAGCGACCCGAACAGTACAGCGTAATCAATGACTAAAGAATCCAAGGACATATAACACCCGAGACCAAATTGTTACCATGGCTCCAAACAGTGCCGTGGCCATATATTTTTCTTAACTTAGCTGCTTGAAGGGATATTTATATTTTTGATAAATGTTTTGACTACGCCTATGGTGTAGGCGGTGGTATCAAACTAATTAATTACGAAAAAAACGCATTAAAATGTTAACAAAAGATACAAAACTAGTATCAATGTATAGCACATATATCAAGTACATATAGTATCAGAAAAATAATTACCAATTTCAATAAGAAAACGATAAAAAGGTGGAGTCAGGAGTTGCGTTTCATAAGTAAATAAACAGTCCTGGCTCCTTCTTATTGTTGCGGCCTTTACACTTGAAAGTCTGAACACATCACCATTGTAATAAAGTTAATACAAAGTTCACTACACACAACAAATTATTAAAAATCGCTAAAATTGTTGCTGTTGACGAGGTGGTGACTCATCCGTAGGCTTCAATATGATGGCCTCTAACGTAACAAATTCTGCTGCAGCCCGTATATGCGCGTTACATATCCTTGTATTCTTTAGTCATTGAGCAAATTCAGATTCATAAACGAAAATATGTTTTAGAAACTACACTTTTAAAAGTTTACCATCTTTTATTTTGCTATTTGATATAACGTTCCCAACCTTAAAGAGGCCTGTAAACTAACGTTTTTCGCGTTTTCCAGAAGAATTACGACCGGAAGTGAGAAAAAGAAATACGCTAACTTCCGTTTACACAGAAGTTCAATAGATTTCCCCGCCTGTGTGTGCTTCTGTGTGAGTCAGTTCGCAGGATAAATCATTCCGAAGGTCCATTGAGGTTCGGGAGCGAGTTACGAAATGTTCGATCACCAGAAAACGAAAAAATTGAGCTTTGAGTCTGAGAAGCGCCTGGCTGGTTCTTAATTTACCGTTAGAAATATCCAGTTTATGTCG